CCAGGATTCTTCTTTGCGGTGTGACCTGTTTCGAGTGATCTTGATCTTGGCATGAACTGCAACTGAGCCACAGAGTCAAGTTGAATATTGTAGGTCTGCGCCATTGATAGCTCTGGATGCCTCCGCATCACCTCTCTCCCTCCTTGTCTCGTATGCTTCACGTCACTGACTCTCATCTCCAGCACGTATGTCATGGCCTGGATCCCAGTTCCCACAACGTCGATATGCCCCGCCCCCAAACGGCGAGGCGAAGAAATTGGGGTTTTGATGGTGGCGATCGTCTGGCGGCCCTCCTGCAAATCACCATCCACGCTCGCCAAGCTATTCCTTAAGGGCAAGTGAAGCTTAGATCCCGTTCACCGCGCCCCTCTGTTCAAGTCTGGGTCTTGACCAGGCGCCAGGCTCTTGCGATACCTACGTAAAGCCTTTCAGCCCAGACTAGCCTGCGTGCCCCCATGCCTCCTAACTCTTCCCCGAATGTTCCACGGACACGAGAACATAGCGCGGACCCTCTTACTCGCATCCATCCCGCGCTGGGTCTCGACAGCCACGCAAACTAGCGGTAGTCCCGCCCGCCAACATCTGCCCTCTCAAGCCAGCCCGCCTGCATGCCTATCACACAAAGTGCCTGTTACTATCTTACCTACCTCTGAAAGAAGCCGCCGCCTGTCCGATGTCTCATCCCTGCACGTCTATCTCCCGGAAGTCATCCCAGATCCACGCGAGTGGCAAAACTACTTGGCGATGCAATGGAAGCTTCGAAAAAGTTACCCAAGCTCCCTCCATGCGCGACGGTTCTGGCCAGTTCCAACCGGGATCAACCCTCCCCTTGTCCTCAATCCTCCGGCTTTTTTCCAGATGCATTTTCTCTATTCCGACTTCTACCCTTCAACATTACTGTCAAGCATTATTGCCGCCAGTCTAACAGTTCTCTAGGTCAGGAAAGGAGGTTGTCGCTCACTGCCAGCCAATGCTTCAATATTTACGTTCCTAATCCAATGTTCCCATGACAGTCTTTACCGTCAAGTGACTGCGGCGCTAGGTCGCTTCCCCTGTCGCTCATCTTCAATATTCTCCGTAACATCACAGCCATGCTCTGGTGTATGGACACTCCATTTTTTCCGATTGTAATTCCTAACTATTCCCTTTCAATCCTAATTCCACCATGATACCCGGTGTCCCTGGGTATGGTTCCTTCACAATACCAACTGGTATCGTTTCGAAAAAGGATGCACTATGATGTGGTTTGTCCACTTCCTCGTGGTTTGTATTTGCAGCGGGCGATACAGCTGCCTATTCCCAAGTTCAAGCTGGGCCACCTCTCACTTACATCCTTTAATATATAATAAGGCCTGATCTGTTGGGTTGCCGTGTGGTTTTCGAGGCCAGGCCAAACCAACTTCATCTTCACGATCCTAGCAACCAACAACCACCCATCTTGCACTTTTGTCACCACCCTCATCATACCCGCCCCTCCACAACGCAATATGTCAGGATCTAGCTACTACCAGCGTCCCGCTCCGAGGTACGACGTCCAATCTCTCACTTCTCCCCTTGCACCCTGTCAGACCGATCCTAATGCCTGCCAGCTACTCTCAATATTCCACGTCTGCAAACACCGGCGGGCAGAGACGCGATACACCTGCCAATCAAACATCATATACTACCACAAGCTACTCACGCTCATCCGACCCGATGGACAGATTCTGGGTCACGGGCCAGTCGTCGGCTAGGCCCAATCGTGTAGCTGGACAGATGGAGCAATGGGATAGGCAATGGAGTTCGGCAAGTCGTCGCTAATACGACCGGTTGGCTCTTCGAAGGAGTGTGTGGGAACTTCCATGCCAGCCCTCCTTGTGTTCTTTGTTGTATGATTAGGTATAATTAGTTTGCTCGATACCCACCCAGCATAGTATTTCACATTGTGTATCACCATTCGAGAAACCTTGATTCCCCGCAAAATATCTACCGTCCCTTGACTCCCCACATCACCACCTCACATCGTCACCGACCAAGGCCGCCGCAACGCCCCAGGGAAGCGCAAAAGCAAAAGCGAGCACCCGCAACAGCGTTGGAACTCCTCCACCTGGGCTCGAACCAGGGATCTCCCGATTAACAGTCGGACGCCTTAGCCAACTGGGCCATGGAGGATTGATGTTGCCGAATGAGGCTCGTCAGCTGAGATGCGAGGTTCGGAGGAGTAGGTGTTGGCTAAGACGTGTTTGCTAAGATCTCATGCTCAGTGTTTCTGACTGGGGCTTGCGCATTCGGATGACGGCCTCAAGTTTGAGGGCGACAGAAGAGACGAGATGGCAGAGGTCACCTCATCGGCTATTAGGTAGGATACTTGTTCAGAATCGGTTGACGGGGTTGACAGATTGATGACGGAGAACCTCGGCATGATCTATAGCCAGCATAGTATTATATGTAAAGAGTTCTGAGCGGGCAATAGCATCACAAACATTGCATCAATGGCCGAGAGTTCAGGCCTAGCGTTTCGACAGATCGGGTCTGCCATCCGGTGATCATACCTTTATGAGACGGTATAGGGTGTGGTCCCTTAACAGATGCATTGCTCAAATGATCTTGTTGCTGCGTATGAGCAACGGACGCCCTTCTAGGACAGATGCAGTCTTGGTCAGCAAGATAAAGGAAGAGTCACTCTCTAATTTGGAAGAAGAGCCTCAGAAGCACACATCATCCTGCAACCGATATTCTCGGGTTCCCAGCGACAGGGGGGCGATGTTGTATCCCGCATGTTTTATACCGAGTGGACGTACGTAGGGCTACTATTGTCTAGTTTTTGACCCGAGCTTACAAAACCGTCACGCCGGATTGTGATCCACCTCGCCGGGTCATCCCGTCTTCAAGTTCACGCTGCATATAGTATAACAAGCTCCGGCTAGGGTGAAGACGGGTCAAAAGCCCGCCGGCAGTTACAGTCTCATCTGCATTTCGAAATCTTGGCGAACCGACTGAAACTTTCATCCGCAACAGAAAAGATGGGACGAAGCACCGACAACACCAGTTCCTTCTCATACCGGTGTGGATGTGTAACGATATGGAAAAAGAGGGAACTATACCAGAACGTTTCCGAAGAGACCGAGATGACAGGTCTCATCTTTTTTCCGGACCCAAACTTCATACCACGTCCCAAGGATCCGAGAAATCATGCAAAGCGGCCACGATGGGCCCTGAGAAGGGCTAAACAGACTTGTGGAATGGACATCTTTGTTTCCCTGAGAGAAACCATTTAGCTCGATCCGGAACGTGAAGCTCGCGCCAGGCGGCGGACCGTCGATTTTACCCCGCCAGCGCACAAACCGGCACCGGGACACAGCTTCAGTCACGGTCTCATCACCTCATTTCATTTCATCTTACCTCTTCAACTTCACAACTGGGCATTGTTCATTCGAAGCTCTAGCATCGTTACATCAGATCGTTACCTAGTTTCATTGACCTCACAAATTGGAAAGACTGGCTGTTCAACCTTAGAGGTACCTGAGTCTCAGAGCCATCACCTTTAGTCAACAGAGAGCCTCGAAAGCGAGGACCCCGGTCCTTGCATGAACCACCGACATGGCCCAAACAAGCCAGCGAAGGAAGCTCCAGGCAGAAGAAGTTGAAGGGGAATACCAAGAACCACCTTTCAAAAGAAGTCGCGCGGAGGATAATGCCTACTTCCAGTGGCTATGGACACCACCTCGCCCGTCATCACGGAAAACCTCCTCATCGGGTCTATGGAGCCACTCCGTCCCAGATGGCCTATTCCTTACCCGTCATGACGCGCCCCGTTCCTTTTCTTTGCCCTCGGAATCCACATCAAGACGGCCTCGTCGCCGGGGCGCCATCTCTGTGACATCCTCGTCACCCAGCGAGATGGATCGATACCTCGCGCGGCAACTACAGCACCAGATCGCCGTCCTCCGACGCAAGGCAGCCGAGGGCCAGCATCAAGTACAAGACGAGGATCGCTGTGAAGATGACGGCGATGATGATAACAATGCCCACAACGAAAGGGACGTTGATCGCCTACAACGTGAACTAGAGGCCGTGCAGATCGACGCTTCCCTACCGTCTATCCTGGGCATCGCGATAGACTTTGATCAAAAGCTTTGCCTCAGTTCCTCTGGTCGTTCATCAGATTCCACCTCTGGGCATCGAGGTAAGCGATCAGGTGTTTGAGCGAAACCCAAAGGATGGCGTCAACATACAAACAAACGCACACACAAAACTAGTGGAAATCTAAGAGAGTGTATGTGAGACGGGTGAGAGGATGTGTGAGAGAGAGGGAGAAATACAGAGTCATCTTCACCTGTCAATCGTCGATCAAACACAGCGGAGAGAGGGGACCATTTCTCTAACAGAGTTGCATAGAAACCGGTTCGCCCGCGGGCGCGGATGCCGCAACCTCCTCATCCTCTCCACTATCCTCCTCTCCCACGTGCTGCCGGCTCTGGGCATCGAATAAAGTCAACTCAGCAACCGGAGATACGAGCCCGACTACTCGGCAACACACCCTCGTCAACACCTGCGGTAAAAGTAGTCGAGGCAGAGAAGGTGTCGGCAATGATGGTCTTTTGTGGAGGCGGCCTCGAACTTGAGACCAAACTCTCTGTTGCCAAGCTTCGATCCAACACACCAGCAAGACACACAGACACCAGACCACCCACCCTCTCTCTCTCTGTCTCACTCATCGTATGGCGGAAGAAGCGGGCGATTACTGACGACCTCCGTCTCTCGTCTTGCATGAATGTCATACCATCATAATACATTTTTGTATTATACTTCAAGTAAAAATATGAACGTTTGGGTATCATGACCCTGAGGAATAGATAATAGAACAATGGAATAATGAAAGTTGCCCAGGGAAATCTGAGCGCATTAGAAAGTTTCCGTTTCTTTTCTGATACCTGTCAATCGATGGATTGAGAACCACCGTCGGTGGCTCTCCCTCCCTGTACCATTTTCAACCCCGCGTGCCTCTAGGCCCATCGCTCTCATCTTGTTGGCGGAGGCGGCGAATTAGACCTCGCAAATGGCCAATTCGGATCCTTCTCCCTTGTCGGGGTATCTGCCAGGTCCCCAAACGGACTCACGGTCTGCGTCCGTCTCAACCAGTTCTTTGTCCCCTCGCCAAACTCATCGCTTTCCTCGTCCACCCTATCCAGCTTTTCATTGTTTGCCGGACCCTGTGCCTGTGCTTGTACTGATGCAGGTGGTGGGCCTGTGCCTGGATTAATCGTGAGAGGAGGGGGAGCCTCCTTTTCTCGATCTCGCGCAGGGGCCGGGGTGGCAGGCAACGACGTCGCCGGCGTGCCATCCCTAGACCTTGGCGGGAATAGAGAATAGGGCGGCTTCTTGGGCGAAGGCGGCACCGGCCTTCTCGACACCGACTGTTCCCTCTGTATCGTACCCATGCCCATCTGCGGCGCGGTACTGCTCACAAAAGTCGTCTGTCGAGAAAAGTTGGGCTGCCCATCGCCGAAATCACTGACTGCGTAGCCCATGCCTCCAGATGACCCCGTCGTACGTGCTGTTTCTGGACGGGTCGGTGATATTGGACGCTTGACATCTTGCGGGTAGCCATTGTTTATAGCCAGCGCGTTTGTCGTCATCAGAGTATTCTGCTTCGGGTAGCTGATTTCACGACGGAGCTCCCGCGCCGTCTGGTCCTTGCGCTTGTTACGCCGGTAACGAGTAAAGATGTAGAAGCCCAGTATGGTGAGAAGAGATGAGCCAATGATGGCCCCCACGACGGCGAGAGCCGCCTGGGTAACTGAAACTGCGGCCCCTTGTGCTTGTGATACACGTAAATTTGCATCGTCCTGTGTTGAAAGGTTAGAAGTCTTGAATGACACACAACCACGGAGTGACCACGGCGTGACCACGAAAGAACCACGTACCCTCGCAGCTTGAATTTGCTGCTGTGCCTGCTGCTGAGCATTCGATATAGCCGCACTAGCGGATTGTGTCGCAACAGCAATGGCTTGCGCAGCACTTGCGCTGGCACTGGCTTGTATGCTCGCAACCTGAGAAGCCAGCTGCGTCTGCGCACTCGCCGTAACCATGGCAAAGTTGTCCGCAACCTGCTTGCTCGCACTCTCCTTAGCCGCGTTCTGGGCGTTGAGTATTCCCTCCTTAGCGCTTGCCTGTGCCTGGACGACGGCATTGTTGGCCGATATCGAGGCCCGGGTGGCCGCATCGTTGGCCTGCCTCGCCTGCTCCTCCGCCTGCCGCTGTCGATCTCCGGCCTGTCTCACTTGGTCATTTGCTTGTTGGATAGCTTCTCGAGCAGACTGGGATGCCGAAGCAATGGCCTGCTGTGCTGATCGAGATGCCGAGTTGATGGCGTCAATGGGGTTGCCGATTGCTTGTCGCCCGAAGAGAGCCGCTGGTGTCGGCACCGATAACACGACACGGTCTTCAAGGCGGGCCGGCTTGTTGTCATCTGTTGATGCCGTCGGCGGCAACACCCTCTTGCCCAATAAGTCCTCGGCCATATCATGGCCTGCCCCCCTCCTCCTCCTCCTTTGAGGTTCCGCCGGTGACCTGTGGTCTCCTCCGTTGTTCACCCATCTTGCTCTTCGCCCACTTCCTTCACCCGCCGCGACTGCCGCCAACATAAGTGAGGCCAGAACACATAGCAGTACTATTCGTGGGAGGCAAGCCTTCACCATGATTTCATTGTCGTCGAATTATGTGTTCCTCCTCTTCACCGTAATCATATTATCCGTAGTAGGTAGTCCGAACGAAAGAAGCAAATCTCAAATCACCATTAACAAGAAGACTAATAATCAGCAAGAGTACTCAAAACGAACTGGAGAGGAATAACACAAGAAAAAGACCAAACCAGAGAAGAACGACCTTCAGGCAGCCCGGTCAGCGGCCCTCGCCCATGTTATGGCCCATGAGCCCGCTTCATCCTAACCATCGAAGAATAAGAGCCCCACGGCTTTCAGCCTACCTGGGCAACGCCGGCGCGGGTCGAGACTCGTTGGCCCCGTCTCCTCGCCGATATCACATCCCAGATAATCCAGTCGGCTTCATTGGAGTAGGAACCTGGGGAGGAGGGTTGAGGGTTGAGGGTTGAGGGACGGGGCCACACGGCGGCTTCTTTCGTCACGATAGTAGCAGCCGCCTACTGGGGTGGATCAGATTAGCGCGCCACCGTCCCATCTTCTTATTCGGTCAGACGCCCAGAGCCCAGTTGGCTGTAATGCATGCATGGTTTCACAAGTGAATTCGGAAACAGCACGCTGACAGAAACGACAGAAAAGTTTATGCCTGCAGTTGGGAGGTGTTTGTTGCGCCAGCGGCATCAACCTTCGGCTGCGTTCCGAGCTTGGTGCTGTCTCAAGAGCCAAAGTTGGACTGAATCCCTGGTCCGTTGAGGCTCCCAGGCGGAGAAGAATTACAATTACGGGATCGTCTTCCAACAGCGTCGATCCTCAGGCTCCTTGGTGTCGCATATCCCTGTCCAGGGTCACTTGACTCGGACCCGGGAGCAAGTCGAGGTCGAAAGGTCGGGGTGGCCGGGGGAACCAAAAGGAACCGATGGTGACATCCATTACCTTGAATCGTCCGCCGACTGCCACCACACCAGATTGCCCTTGTTCAGGATCTGGTTCCCCCTCCAAGTTAGGCAAAGGCAACGAAAACTTATAAGCCAACAGGGACAGACCTTTACTCGACGTCCCAAGAACTGCAACAAGATTTCGGAAGCCGGCGAACTAACCGAAAAGAACGAGTCACCAAACGCGTGCCATAGCCGCTGAGAAGTGCGTGCGCGAGTTGCCTGTTTGCGATTGTGAAGAGCGTTGAGTAAGGCGAGTGTGGATGGGTGGGGAGAAACATGTTGCGCAAGCGCGAGCGTGAGGGTTGTAGAAATTTGGAAACGTTCTTCACATTGACCATCTATATACCAGTGGGTGTCCCGGTCTTCTTTCTGTTCGTTCTCGATCATGCCGATCTGTGGGCACATTGTGAGCAGCTCAACCAACAAATCCATCCGTGCGTAGATTGGATTCCTGCCTGTCTGGCCGCCCATGCAAAAAACTAACCATATCTCCCAACGCCAGCCATGCATCCATCCGTCGCGGAGGATATTCCCTATCCTTGAACCTGAGGCCAACCTCTTTTTTTTTTCTGGTTTTGCGTTGTGTGCCTGAGAACATCCCAATACTTGTTGAGAGACTGGACGAAAATAAGAACAAGGTCATGGTCCGCCATTTGGCTCCAGCGCTTGTTCATAGCTTTTGTTGTTACAACCCATGACTCTGTGTTCCGCAGCGTCCGCAACCTGGCGGATGTTTCCAGGTCGGAAGCCGTGCGAAACCTCGTGGGTAGGAGAGGACGACTTTAAACGGGCAGCTTGAACTTCTTGCCCTTCATCACCTTGGTGTAGTAGATCCAGAAGAAGTCACTGTAAAGGATAGTCTGGATGATACCGGCGGTAATGGCGATCCAGTCGACCTTGTGGTTCACTTCAGTGAAGTAACGGTAGATCCAGTTGGGGATGTACAGGGCACGGTAGATACCGAGGGCGAAGAGGTAGTGGGTGGTGATGGTCTCGGCCTCGCCAGTGCGCTGAAGCATGAAGAGCTGAGGCAAGATGGCAACGGCCTCGAGCCAGATGGAGAAGGCCCAGGAGATCTCCCAGAAGGTGTACGAGTAGGGGAAGATGATGGCCAGGGCGGCAGCTCCGCCGAGCAGGTACTGGACGCGGAAGGTATCCTGGTTGGGGTCGTTGGTTGGCTTGTAGGCGGTCGTCATCAGGTAAACGATGTACCCTTGGGAAGAGATAAAGAGGATCTTGAAAACGAGGTTCCATAGACTAGAGGTCGTAAACAAGTCTGAGGGGGACAAACAAACGCTGGTTAGTTTAGGTCAAGCGGAGTGAAGGGAAGGCAATGGAGGCTTACCAAGGTACCTGGTGATGTAGACCAGGAAGTAAAGGGCTTGCGACTTGAACGAAATACCAGAACAGCTCTGAGAAAGAATTAGATCAGGGCCCTGGGTGTGACGACATGGCGGGAATCGAAAAGCTCACGTTCAGCTGCACCATCTTGTGGAGGAGAATGCCGATACTGGCAAGATGGGACAAGTCCCCTGCAAGCCCATCATGTTAGTCCCCGGAGCGAACATTTGTAGTATCGAGGATTTTGGCGACACGTACCGGCAATGCGGAAGAGATTGAGCATCGTGACAGGTTGATTGCGGCGAGGCGATGGATCGCGGGTGACGATTTGGGGCGGGAGGGAGCTTCAACTCGGAGGGAGCTTGGAGCTGCCAGTGACAGCGCGCGCACGGCTTATCGGATGGTTGTAATCAGGCGGGTGCAGGTCGCCTTGCACGCTGGTGGTTTTCGTCGTCGTCGTCGTCGAGCGTCTTCGTGACGTGTCGTTTTGTTTGGGTCCGCGATGTTTTGGCGTCGTGACGTTGGAATTCTTGGGTTGCTGGGGAGGGAGCTTCGAGACTGCGTTTAGCACAACTGGCAGCTTTTTTGGGTTTCCAGGAGGGTTGAAAGGACACGAACGCGATTGCAAGCTCATTGGAAGCTGGAACCGAACACTCGAGCCACACAACTGAACACTCAGGTACCTTACGCAGTGCTTCGTACCTTACCTTACAGTGACTGGCCAGCGGCGACGGGAGCTGTTGTCCGCCTTACCTAATACGAGACACTTCCGGCAGGGCTTAGGTAAGGCACGCAATGAAGATGAGACACTTTGCGCTCTTTCGTTCCTGGAGGCTAAGGCACCTACCTGTTGTGGGGTCCTTCAGCATGGAATGATGGAACCTAAGGTGCAGCACCTCGACTCGGAGTGAGAAGCTGAGGTAATCATCCATATAGGAACGGGTTCTCATTGGCTTAGGTAAGGTAATCGGAGCGGAATCCCCGAATCTGCGCTACGGGAATCGCGGACTCCACTTATAAGTCCAGGCCGCTGCCCCGAACGCGACGGAGGTCGGGGAGTTCCAGGTGCGCCAAGATGTGACGTATTACAAAGCTGCCTGAATGACAAACCTCCGCGAGTCCCATCACGGGGTGGCCATCTGCGCCTCAGCCCGCACTCGTTGTGATTCCCAACATTTCCATGAGTGCCACCCACCTCTGTATATAGACGCACAACTTGGCGCACTCCTTGCAACCCTGCAAATATCTAGCAAAATACCAAGTTTTATTGATACACTACACCCGACTACGATCGCCAATTCAAACCCCCACCAACCATGGCCGAAGCACACTCTTGCGAGTCCGACTACGACGACTCCGCCGATGAAGCCATCACCATAACGCTCACCCACCGCAACACACCACACACCTTTAAATTCCCTCCGGATGGAACAATCACCCACCTCTCCGAAGATGTCGAAGACACCCTCTTGATCCCCGCCTCAAATCAAAAGTTCATCGTTCCGAAGCTCGGCCTCCTCAAACCCCCCTTCAAAGACCCCGACATGTCCCTCGTCGACCTACAAAACAAAAAGATCATGCTCATGGGCGTCGAGGCCAAGGAGGTCGCCTCCCTCCAAGCCGCATCCGAGTTCGCCGCGAAACGAAACGCTGCCCGCAGCGCCGCCCGCAGACAGAATCGGCCCTCGAGGAGGCGAGACCAGGGCCGCGCACAGGCGGACAGCACCTATACTTTCCTCTCCGTCCGGCCGCTAGCAGGCCTCCCGCGTCCAGAGAGATCTCTGGCGCTTCTCGAGAAGCTGAAAGAGGATCCAGGCATCCGCGCCTCCATGCGCAAGCACAAGTTCAGCGTCGGCCTCTTGACGGAGATGGAGCCCCTGTCCAACACGCAGTCCAACCACGAGGGGACGACTCGACTCCTCGGCCTGAACCGCAATAATGGAGAAGCGATCGAATTGCGGCTGAGGACGGATGCGCACGACGGCTACAGAGATTACAAGACCATTCGTAAGACGTTGTGCCATGAGCTGGCGCATAACGTACACAGCGACCATGACCGCAACTTTTGGGACTTGTGCCATCAGATCGAGCGCGAAGTCGACGCGGCGGACTGGAAGCATGGCGGACACACGGTCGGAGAGGGGTCTTCGTACTATGCGCCGGGACAAGACGAGGAAGAGGACGTCGAGGACCACGGTGGTTGGGAAGGCGGTGATTTCGTCGTGGGAGGAAGCGGTGGTGGCAACGCTGGCTTGAGCCGACGAGAGATCCTGGCCAAGGCTGCAGAGGAAAGAGCTAAAAAAATGAACATGGAGAGGAGGGACGGAGGAAAGCCTGACTCTGGCCCGTCGTCGTAGAGGTTCTGCATGGTACTCGGAGCAACATTGAAGCGTTCGTATGGTGTTACTGTTACTTTGCTTTCTGGATTTAGCATTGCGCAGGCGTTGCGGTGGCTTGGACATGGGACATCAACTGACCTCGCTGGTCACGGAGTAGTTAGTCAACTCAATCACGATGAATATCCGCTCTCAAAACAATTGGTGGGTGCCCAAATAGGTACTCGCATTGTAGTTCGCATCATACTATTCTGCATGACCATCTAAACCCTCAATGCGATGAGTCATATAAGGTAGTGATATCTTTCTACCCAATAGGTGAGCCATGCTGTTACTCGTACAAAATGCCGCCTCCCCCATGAATGCTGTGAAAAGAAAAAAAAAGAGAGAGACCTCGTCCGAGTGTCCTCCCGGTATGATATCCCTTTCCTAGAACGCCTTGATGTCATGCCTATGCCATGTCCGGAAACGCCGCCAATGCATGTAGGCGTACGGCGACGCCAATTGCTATCGCCCAAATGCCCATGTTTTTCTGCTTCAAAACGGAACAAAAAGAAGAAAAAGCCGTGTTGCGGCTTGGAAAAGCCATCGCTTGAACTGATCCACGTTCCAGTCATGCAGATTCTGCAATCAGTGAAAGCGAACAGCCTTAAGCTATTGCTGTGTCTTGAGCCACTCCTTTTGCTCCGGTTCCCACTTGTGTCTGCATATCGTGTTAGTTGTGAAAATAAGAGTCGGAATTCCGCCACCAGGATCAAAGCTTATTTGGGGGTAACAAAAAGCATGGATCCCAACGCAGATCTCTAAACTTACCCTTGCCATTCGGTGGTCACCAAGCTTTTGGTGCCGTACTCTTCGGAAAGAATGCGCTCAAAGCTGTAGGGAATGGTGGCGGGGACACCCTCGAACTCGGTCTCGCGCATGGGGAAAAGGTCGGTGGTGCGGTAGCGGTGGTAGTTCTTACAACTCCAGACACCAGGCATTCCGGAGGGGTCGCGCTCGGCGAGGCCAGTAATATCGATAAAGGCACCGTTGGCCATGTTGATCCAGCGGGCGTCAATGATGTTCTGGCCGTCGCCGCGGTCCTTGTCAGTGCCGTGGGGGTTGACGTCGAGCAGGTAGCGTTCCTTTCTGGCGTTGCCATCCGTGTCGGTCCAGTCGAAGTCGTGCTCGGTGCGGTTCAGGTTCTGGCCCATCCAGTACAGAGTCGCCGTCGAGACCTGAACATCGAGGTCGTAATCCCAGGGCATGATCTTGCCGTTCCACCACCAACCCAGAAGCGTGCCGTGGGCGAGCCATGTCTCAACCTTGAGCTTCTTGGTAATGGTCAGGTAGGAGCGGACAAGGTTGCGGAGAACAACACGGTGCTCGTCGTAGCCCACAGCTTGCTTGAAATAACGGATATCGTAGTGGCCAAGCTCTTCGCCACAGCAGGGCTCGTGGAAGTACTTGGTGTCCTCGCGCTTTTCGATGGCCGGTGGTGAGGATTGGCTGACATCTCTGGCTGCTTGAGGTGCCGCAAGAACAGTTGATGTGAGGCCCAACACGGCGAGTGGGAAAGTAAGGTTGAAGCGCATCTTGGCTAATTGCGTTGTTGTGTTGCTTGAGTGGGATTCTTGATATCGAGATCCAGAATGATGGGTGATTACTCGGTAACAATGACGGCAAACAAGAATCCCCAAGTTCCAAAAAATGGCGGGATGCTGCTGTTTGTCGAGTTTTCTGGAGGCCTCGTAATGCCAAGAAGTTGTCTTCGGGAGGTGGCCGATGCGAGGCAGGAAGGAGGTGAAGGTGGATATGACAGGAGCCAGAGGGGCCGATGAAGGTAATTCG